CGCACGATAGTTCAGTCTGAACCGACCTCCGTAGACAGTCACGAATTCAGAGCCAGGATCAGGAAAAAGCTGAATCCTTCGATTAAAAGCAAGACAATGTCCATCCTGGCCAACCATGCAGATTACCCCCGGCCGGCCAAAGGAAGCTTGACTTGTGAATGGTGCTTTAGTCCAATCGCAGCTAGTTTATTGGAGGGACCAAATTGGCGGTACGAAAAATCTTATCCGGCTCTTTTATGTTTATGTCGAATATATTTTGTACACTTCCGATCCTGACTCTTAATAAAAAATCTATAGGCAACATGTGAATGAAGACCATGAACCTTATGTGTGCATCTCTGAGAAATGCTCCGAGGCGCTACCCAGATTTGCGACTTCGACCCAGTGGTTCCAGCACATGCTCACAATTCATGACAGGAATTGGCACCGGGAGGTGCATGCACCGTCCTCTTGGTCTTGTCCTTTGTGTGTCGATGAAGATGCTACCTTTTCTAAGTCGGACGATTTAACTGCCCATCTTATTGATTTTCATGAAGGAACCTTTACCAGGCCACAGATCGATGCCATCGTGCGCCAAAGCCGGTTTCGTACCCCTCGCCCTCAGGATACGTGCCCTCTCTGCTGTTTCCCCATGAAGACCCAGCCGGACCTTTCATCTAAGGAAAAAGGTGATGGTAATGGAGATCCGTGTCCTAAGGAAACGAACCATGAGGAAAACGTTGGACATAAACGAATCAAAACAGAGACCGGCCGGGCTCATCCCGACCATAACGAAGGAGATACCCTTGAATCTAAAGCACACCCGAAACCAAATACCCTGGTCGACCGACTTATTGGCAAATCCCTTTCTGTCGAAGTGGTTGGGAACCATATAGCAGCACATCTCCAAGGCATAATGCTTCTCACATTGCGCTTGATATCAATAGATATTGGGATTGATGTTTCAGCAGATAATCAAAGTACATCTGGCGGTACTGACCATAATTCATCATGGGTTAGCTCAAGCAAGGGAGACCCGGGTCAGGATATGGGCAAGATAGGAGACTTCCCGCAACCAATAAATGATGATAATGACCCGGGCGATGACATTCCTCTCGAAGATGTGGTCCCAGACTCAGAATATACCAATTGGCACAACGTTCCCCGCGCTCATGAAGATCCGTTGGAGGAAAATATTCTAGAGGATGAGCTGATTCGCTTAGGAATCGTTCAGCCACGCTCATATGGGTCAAAGCATTCTTTGCCATCGCGAGCCGTTCAGAGTGAGGATGAATTGAAAATATTACAGAAACATAGGTCTCGCCTCGAGGTCATTCAAAAAATAGTGGATGCTGAGGTCCGTTTTACAAGGGAAATGACAATCGTTAATGAAATTTACAAGGCTTCGTCTAGTGCCTGCATGGAGCTTTCTGCAGACGACGTGAAAGTCCTATTTGGAAACTCGGAAGAAGTGTTAAGCTTTTCTTTGGGCTTCCAAACGGCACTAAAGAAAGCTGCTGAAAGTGCGTTCATGCCGCGAGAATCACGTAATATAGAGACCACCAAACTACACGGTGACGATGAGGCTTCAGAGAAATCACATACAACAGAATTGGATTTTTCTACTTTTATCGGTAGAGCTTTCATGGACCATCTGCCTCGCATGGAAAAGGTCTATTGGCGATACTTGAAGAACAACGATGCAGCCAATATGAGACTCAGGACTTTGCAGAGTAATAGCAAGATTTCGAACTGGCTCACTGAATGTTATGAGGGTTCGTCTGACATGACAACGGCAGGTCTTGACTTGCTGCTCATCAGACCTGCGCAACATCTCTTGCAGTATTCAATATTATTGGACGAGCTTCTTCAGTGGACGCCGAGTGATCACCCGGATTGGACCTGTCTTACTGAGGCGGTTTTCAAGCTCAGAAGTCTTCCTGCTCATATCGACACTGTAAAAAAGCGGGATGACATTGTAAACCAGACTGTTAACCAAAAGCGCAAAACATTGGATGTGAAAACGGGATTGAACAGGGCATTTGGACGACGCACAGCTACACTTGCAGATAGATCTGATCCAGACGAAGAGTTTAGAGATAAGGATTGTGATGTTTTGACTCAAAAATTGGGCGAGAGCTTCTTCCAGATGCAGCTTGTGATGATGGACGTAAAGAAGTATACGGCTGAAGTTCAGAGCTCCACTGACCGCCTCAAGCAGATTGTCAATGCAATTGCGGAATTCGTCTCCGTGATGCCAACCATTTATCCAGGCCTGGAGAGCAAATGGGTGCGCTGGAGATCTTGTATGCAAGGTATCATATCAGGAGCTCTAGTCGATCATGTAAGCCCGCTGATCACTCCTGGAGACTTATGGTATATTCTGACTCATTTAATATCATTTAATAGATCACTTTAGTTCGAACGACAATTATTGAACCGTTAGATACAGCTCTTAAGCTTCATAGTAAACCCCAGGCAGTCAGCCAAGAGCGCACCATGCGGTTTCCACATTACGTCCGCTTCAAGGTTGCTAAAGGACGAAATATCAAACTAGATAAAAAGACCACAGAGAAAGCCCAGCAGTTTATCGCATTGAATGAGACTCTGAAAGAGGAACTCCCGAAATTCTTTACTCTCTGCGCTCGATTGGTGGAGACGTGCTTAAACAATCTTGTTCACATCCAAAATGGCTGGTTCCGGCAGCTAGAGACTGAACTTGGCACTGTTATCGATTCACCCCCAGTCGATATCCCGGCGATCATCCATGAATGGTCAGCCGACTTTAGCTTTTCGGAAGCTCAAGTTCTTTCGCTTGGGATGTGCAACGGTTCCATTTTGGCTGAACAGCCCAATTCACTTAACCCCCTTAGCAGAATCAACACGGGCTCAACGGAAGCAACAAGCAGCCTGTCCCGACAACCTTCCACCGCCAACAGCCGCAGCGTGCGTGATCCAGTTTCTCGATCTCGACCATCTTACCGAATACCAGATCCCCTATTTGGCGAAGTAGGGGGTCCGTCATCATTTGACCCTGCTGCACCTTCGCGGATGAGCACGGACACCACATCCAGTCTGCCAAAATTGACTCTCGATACTCCATTCTCGGTCGAATTCCCTGACTCCTCAATCAAGCCTAGAGACAGTTTGCCCAAGCAACGGTCTGGTCAATATTTTGAGTCATCTTCGCGATCGCTAGTGGGAGGCAAACTGCGGACGGACGAGGGGTTGTCGGAAAGCAACAGGGAGCGGTCCCCGGCAGAACCTGAGGACGGGTTCGAGGTCCTATTTATCGTCGCCAGTCTCTTTGAATTCCATAATTCTCGTGCGTCACAGGTGGTCTCTGGATACCAGTATCTACAGTATGACGCAGGCGAGGTTTTTGACGTATTTGCCGAAAAAGGGGAATTATGGCTTGCCAGGAACCAGGATGATCCCGATTGTATGATTGGTTGGATATGGACCAAGCATTTTGCTAAACTCTCACAATGCTGAATTCGGTTTTTTTTTTTTTTTTTTTTTTAATTGTTTATTATTTAATCCCTTGGAAAATAAAAAACTCCTTTGTTCACATGTACACGCAAAGGAGCTAACTTTGGTGGCATATAATTCCCATAGAAGATGCTCTACTATATCAATTTGTACACCGCTTCAACTGTGAGGTATGCGGCATCATCTATCAGATAATTACCCCTACTATAGAATATAGTATTAATTCAATAATCTAGGCCAGGCTTAGAGCATTTTGATGAGGAAGTTATGGTAGCTCTAACGTCGTATTCATACGCATCTACAGGATGCAAAACCATGGACTCCTTATTCTCCCAATAGCTAACTAGTGATGGAAAAGGGCCTCTTCAGCTACTTCCCCAAGCCAAGGTATTAACCACCAGAGCAGGCTTTTTGCTGAAACAACAAACTCTATCATTATCAAAAAAAAAAAAAAAAAAAGGTCTATGGTTACTTTTAGGTGAGATATTTGTGTTTGGGGACGTTAGTTGCTCACTGGTTTGGCTCATCCAGCAGCAACATTCTCGAGGCAGAAGCCGGGAAATGCTGCAGACCATAGACGCCACCACCCAGACATGCACACAAGTAGACAGACGGACACGCGGTCATCCACGTGTGAACCACTCTAAACATCTAACTCTAGACGTTGTGGCTTATTTTGGAATCATATAGAACGTAGTTCCGTGGAAAACAGTAAAATAATGGGTAGGGTTGTTCATCTATCATAGATGCAACCAGCGCGCGCTGCTCCCCGCACCAGAACATCAGAGGTGAAAACTGATCCAGGTGAATCACCAAGAAATTGCACAAATTATGTGAATGGAAACAGGAGGAGAGCAGCACCCAGGTGTGTATCAACTACAAACGTCAGAATAGAAATATGTATCTCTATTGCCGTTCGTTCGTTGGGTGGTTGCGCTAGAGCAACGAAAGAGGGAAAAGCTAAAATATAAAGATTTGCTCTGGGGAGGGGGGCGGTAAGAACATGCTTCATAGAAACTCTACGCCATATGTGCATAGGAGATAAAACATTTTATATGAACCAACCTCACCCCAAAAAATAGTAAATATATAGATATATAGATATATAGATATATACATAAAAACAATAAATACCAATAAAGAATAGACAAGAATAGGCAAGAATAAAAATAAATGGGAAAATATGTACAGGGCCTTCGAGCGAGAGAAGGAATGTGAACCGCAGGCCGCTCGTCGACGTGTTAAAAGCTCACCCAGGGAGCTAGCCGGAGGCCAATTACCCCCCCCCCCCCCAAAAAAAAAAAAAAAAAAAAAAATGAAGCAATGTAGCCAAAATAGAGATATAAACGCGTCTCCCCTGCTCAAATAGAGGAGCACTGGACATCCAACCACTTCGTAAAGACAGCAGTCGGCTCCTCCACATAACGGTGAAACACCTCCGCAAACCAGCACGAGAGCAAAATCGTCAGCGTTCCGCCGATAGCAAAAGTCAACCCGTACTGAAATGTCGTTTGGTAGCCGAAGACAAATTAGAGCCACGGCATGATCGGGTACAGGAAGAACTTGAGCATGATGGTATGCGTCAGGTAGAGCGAGAAGGAGAGGGTGCCAAGGTAGAGGAAGATGGGGCGGGTGAAGAAGCGCTGGACGGATGAGAGGCCCGTGATGGCCATGATGAGGATGACTGTGCCGACGGCGTCCCAGAAGCGATAAAAGGCCGTGTAAGTTCGCGGCGCGTACCATTCTAGCACTGCGAAGGACCAGGCGTTCCAGATATCTGCGGCAGGGACGCTAAGTATCCATAGCCCCAGGATCATGCTGAAGACTATGAACCATGTCGGTGGGGTGTATTGGGTAGCTGTCTTGAATTTTTTGGAGTCTGCGTTTTCAACTTTGGGCAGCTGCTGGCTGTATTCGGCTGCCTCGTCCTTGATTATGTCTAGTTCAGCGATGAATGCGCCGGCAAGAAAGAGGAATACGTCCCATTTCTCGAAGGTGAGAGTGTAGAGGGAGAACAGGGCGTTGAAAGACAGGCGGGTCTTGCTGGAGCATCTTGCGAGAGCGGAGTGGACGAGAAATAAGACCATCGAGCACCGGAATTCAACAGGGATGGTCCAGAGTTGGTAGGCGTAGGGAGAGTTTTGGCTGAAGTTTTCCCAGTTGAACGGCCAGAAGAGCGGCGGGATGGTTTTGCACCAGAGCCAGAACTGGCGGAAAAAAGTCGGTTCCTGCGGGACCATGTTGAAGGTGTGATATGGTATTTTGTCATCTGCGAACTTGGCGACTGGGGGGAAAAGATTGAAGCTGATCATGAACATGGGGATGAACGTTGCGATTATCGAGGGGATGTACAATCGGAAGATGCGACGGAAGATCTTGGAGCTCAAGTCCAGCTGTAACGGGCCCCAAGATTGGCTTCGGCATTTCTTAATCGTCCCGAGAGAAAGGACGTAGCCGGAGATAAAGAAAAAGATAGTTGGTTGACCTGTGTAGAGAAGACGGAAAAAGTGGAGTTGGAAGATAGAATCGCGGCCTTCGGTCCCATTGTAGGCATATGATGAGTTTGGGAAGAATCCCAAAACCATGTGTAAAACCACCACACCAATCGCAGCTAGCCCACGAATGCCATCTAGATATGCTGTTTTCCCAACCGGCCTCGACAGCTTTTTGGACCCTGGCTTGGTCTTATTTTGCACGATTGCTGGAAGGAGTAAAAACACTGTGTGGGCAATTTGCCCCGGGCCGGTTGACCGCAGACCGCTCATGTTTCCCGGTGGGTATTAGAATCCCGAATAATGACTTCTTCGGACCAGTAACGACTGATGAAGAATCAGGGTGTGCAGAGATGAATTAGAAGTTATTAATTCTAAGGGGGGAGAGATAAGCAGAATGCAGA